GTTTCCAAAATAAATAAAGAGGAAAGCGTCAAAATTCCGTGATTTTTGAAGTAGGTCTTGCAATGAGTTGTTTGTTTGAGACCAAATAGATAACGGATTGCTCTTTTTTGCAACTTAAAAATAGTATCAAATTGGGCCGCTGTACTAGAACCCCAAAATGGAAGCCCATATCGAAGATGGGACTCAAACAATGAGAAATATGCCATTTTGGCAGAAGATAAATTTAGTTCCTTCGAAACAGATCTTATTGCAAAGCAAGCTGAGGCTAGTTTCTTCCCTAAGGAGTCAGTATGCAAGGACCATTTGAGATCACTGTCAATGAGAATACCTAGAAATTTCACCTAATTTACGATATTGATTTGGATTTTTTGGCTACTTTGAGTAGTTTTATATAGCATTTTCTGTACTTGTTGATATAATCAGAGATGGGGATACTGTCATTAAATTTCTTAATATATAGCAGAGAACGCATGTTTTTCGCAGATATGCGAATTCCTTTGGTAATCCAAGGTTTGTTAAGTTTTGGCCTGATGTTTAATAGGGGAAATGCTTTATTAAAAATAGATACAAGTCTATTTAGAAAATCACTAACATTACAGTCAATGTCCCCAGAAGAAAAACTCCAGTCAGAAGTCAAGCATGAATTATAGAATTTACGAAAGTTTTGAGTGGAAAAAATCCTACCTAATCGTCGGGTTTTTGAGTGAGGTGTTTGTAAACTGCTAAACTTGGTATATACCGCTTTATGATCAGAAAGCCCCCCACTAATAACTGTAGAATGGACGTCAGCGGGTGGAAAATCGGAAACCACATAATCAATTGTCGAGGATGATGTTTTTGAGATTCTTGTTGGAGAATTAACGTGCATTGTGAGACCATATGATTCAAAAATAGTTACCAAAGACAGTTGGGTCGCACAAACAGCAGCGTAGTTAATATTAAAATCACCACATAAAATTTTTCTGCTTTTAATGGGCAGAATATCTAACAAATTTAGCAGGCTCTGAAAAAATAGTTCAGTATCAGAGCTAGGTGATCTATAAATGCAAATAATGTATAAATTAAATTTCTTATTATAAATCAAAGAAAATTCGAAGTAGTTTTCACCCAGCAAATAGTCATATTTCGAAACTGAAGAAAAGTCATTGTTATTTGAAAGAATCAGAGTGCCACCATGAGCTGAACTTGGACGATCATACCTAGCAATTGTGGTATATTCTTGAATGAAAATTGGCTCATTAACTTCAAGCCAATGTTCCGTCACTGCAACTAACTGGGGAAACCCTAATTCTTCCAGAAACAAAAATAATTCGTCTGTCTTATTTCTAATCGATCGAATATTAATAAGAACCACGCCAAAGTTGCTACCAGTTAAATTATCATTAGCCTCCTAAATTGTTTAAATTGTCGCACCATCTTTTTCTTGGTCTGCCAATACTTCTTCGTCCATTTGGTGACTTATCTTGTGCTATTCTTACTATTCTATCCTCTGCCATTCTACTGATGAGTTCGTTTCACTCATGTTTTCGTTTTGTCACTCATCCCTTTATGTCTTCTATATTGCATGCTCTTCTTATGTTTTCGCTTCTCTTCCTATGCAACAGACTTCTCCCTGATATTCGTCGGAGTATTTTCATCTCTGTTGTTTCTAGCAGTCGTCTCGTTTTATATGTGTCAGTTCTTGTCTTCGCCGTGTATGTTAATATAGGTCTAATTGCCGCTTTATAGATTCTTGTTTTTGGGTCTTGTCTTAGGTGTTTATTCATCCAGATTGTGACATTAAGAGAACCCGCCGCTTTACTTGCTTTTAAGCTTTGTTGTCGTACTTCGTACTTTTTTGTGTCGTAGATATTAATGTGTGATCAATAAAATATAATCACTAACGTAGACAAATATCAACGAAATATCAATAAAAGGATATTATGGTAGAAAAAATTAATAGAAATCTAGTTAAACTGCAGTATTAATTTTCGAGTGTGAAAAACAGACACGTAAAGCTTTAAAGCGACGAAATCTATAAAAACAAATTACTATAATTATAGGTGCTACAAATACATATATAGATTATAGATCTAGATCAAAAAACTTTTATATCAACTATTATTGGTCCAAAAATGAATTAGATAACGGTGAAGCCATTAGAAGAGAGCCAAGCATTATGTAAAAGACAGAAAATGTTTATTTGAATTGTAAATCGATATTTAAATCAATTTAAATACCAATCTCAGACACTAATCCTTACCAATCGCTAACACCTCCTTCAAATTATAATATTTATTACACAAATCAACATACGAACCATTTATATCATCTCGAATCGAAAGAAACGATCCCATTTCTGGTTTTTTAATTGAATCGTTATATTTTCGAAACTGGAACGCCCGAGGATGTTTGCTCAACGGTCATGTCTTCATATTTACAATTTCTCGTAATCATAGGAAATTGGCGTTTGAAAGTAAACGCACGAACTGTATTTTTCTTTTTGTTTTTACAAAGTAGCGTGTACAGAATTAATATGTGTTTATCCACTATATTTATATTATTAACCTAATTAAATATAATGCAAATATCTCTTTATTTCACCGTCTTCCTTTTTGATAGAGACTAACTAAACGATATAATAATAAAAATTGATGAGAACATAAATAGTAACAAAAAGACATTCAGGAAGAGTGAGACAAGGGCATACAATTTCTCCGAAGTTATTCACATTATTACTATCATCTTCTCATTGCACCTTCTCCTTTCGAAGGTTGGTGATCCAAATGGCAACTGGGGTTTTGTAAACTGCTGCGCGAAAGATTTCTGCGGATAAGCGGTCCAACCATCTCCTCAGGTCTTTCAGCCATGAGTTCTGGCGTCTTCCTACTGATCTTTTGCCCTGTACTTTTCCTTCCAGTATAACTTGAAGTAATTCATATCTTTCACCTCTCACCACATGATCCAACTACTGCATTTTCCTCTCTTAGTAATTACTCTTAGTAATTCTTTTTGTTTACAGATGCGACGAAGTACCTCAACATTAGTAACTCTTTGTACCCATGGAATTCTCAACATTTTTCAGTATATACATCTCAAAGGCATCTATTCTTTTTTCTATTTCAGAGTCCATTGTCCTTTCACAGCCACACTTCATCTTCTTGTAGTTTCTTCTCCTATCGGAGGTTGGCTATCATCACAGCTATCCATAGCTTATTGGCGGCTGCTCTAAAAAGATCTACTGAGCTGCAACTATACAACTCTCTTAGGTTTCTCAGCCAGGAAATTCTTCGTCTTCCTATGGATCTTTTACCTCTGATTTCACCTTGCATTATGAGCCGTAATATCTCATATTTAACACTTCTGGTAATGTGGCCTAAATATTCCAGCTTTCTTGTTTTGATGTCTTTATGACCTTGCAATCCTTTTGTAGCCTTCTTAACACTTCTGCATTTGTAACTCGTTGGGTCCATGGTATTTTCAAAATCCTTCTATAGCACCACATCTCAAAGTAAAGTAAACAAATGCTATTTAAGGTAAGCTGTTACTAACATTTAAATATATTTAGATATGTTCCATAAAATTGTTGAACAATATAGCTACAGAAAGAATACAACCAGGCACCAGTAGCATTAAGTGATTAAATTAAAGATACAAATATTTCAAATTACACCGAAAAATTTATTAAAGAAAGACGGTATATCTAATAGCTTTATAATTATCTTTTCATGATGATTATGATTTGAGTTTATTTCATACCTCTTTCTAAACGAGGTGGTTTAGTTGCCTGGTTTCAACTAGGTAAACCCCATCCTAAGGGAGGTTACGTAGTTGTTATTTTTATTTTTACATTTGAAGTAATTTAAATTTTTTTATCGTATTGCTGTAACGAACGTGATTAAGACAATTTAATCTTGACATTCATTACATCCTTCAATGTCAGTTCTTATTTGTGAAATCTTTTAATTTCTTTAAGTGTTTCTTTTTTGAAATGTTGAAATTCTTTTTACAGTGTACTCCTGATGAAGCTATCAAATAAATAGCGAAATATTGAGTTTCTTAGAAAAAAAAAAGAAGATTTTTATTAGATACCAGTTTACCTGATAATTCCTACGTAAATATATATATATATATATATATTATATATATATATATATATATATATATATATATATATATATATATAATCGCTAATTTCGAGAAATCTACCCGGCGCGGCCCTTCGATTATATCAATCACAGTATTCAGAAATTTAAATCACACTGATTGATTTCTCTCTCCTGGATCTGCAATCATGATCTATCACAACTGACGATTCTAGTATAAACGAAATTTATTTGTTAGGCACAATGTATTGCTGAAGGCATCTAGGTAAAAAAATATTGGAATGATTGAATAATGTAAAAAAATAAAATATAATAAAATTGAATATATGGTATTTACTTCTCACTCATTTACATTGGAACAACTATCGACTTAAAACTTTTCACTTTTTATCATAGTCTCCCCACTGTTGTCATTTTAACTTTTCATCCATGCCTTTGCTTTTCTGCCTTTTTTTCACTATTTCTTTATTCGTATTCCTCTCAATTTTGTTCCGTTGTTAAGATTTGTTTTTATAAGGGGTTCATTTTTCGCTACTCTTCAATATTCTCCTTATTTAATGCTTCGTTTAATTTTACAGTGTCTATTATTTAATCACAATTAAAGGTACCTATAAATTTTGACCGTGAAAAGTTTTAAATAACTAGTAAATTATTGCTGCAGCAACTTACGCCAAAAAAGTATTGTCTAAAGTGGTGTGCTTGATGTATCATTTATTGCTATTTACATTCGATAAAAATACTTTCAAAAGAGTATTTTCTTTAACATTTACGGATAAAAAAAATAAATATTATTTTTTTTTTCCAAAATTTAATAATAATTGGCGATATTACTAACGGTGCTCTTGAACTTAATGTGTAAATGTCAATTTAAATTTTATTATTGTTATATTTAATAAGGAATTATTGTTTACTAACCTGCAGGACATACACATTCTGGCACGTCTCTCAGCCTTCTTCCATCGTTGGGCACGTCCCTCAGCACCCTCCTCTTGAGGTGATAAACAGCTTCCCTACGATACCTCTCGAACAATCCCTCCATACCCTTTTCCGGCGAGTCGGACCTCAGCTCTAGATAAGCAACTCTGTCTTCCAGAAGGGTCAAGCGACCCTTCATGTCGAACTCTCGCCACACCGACGAAGAAACACTCACAAGACACAAAACACACATCACTAGGTTTATGCCAATGTTGCAGGAAGGTTTGAGCGGTGGTTGCGGCTTCTTCGTCTGCTGCTGCGGCCCTCTGGGGGCAGCACCTAAGGAGTCTTTGTCCATGGCCTAAATTCTATAAACTACCATTATTCTGAAGATCACTACCACTGGGTTTTTTACGCCAGAGGGGTGGTCATGTGTTTCGCGGACGCGGTTTCCTCCGCAGCGTGTTTTACTGATCGAGGGCTCGGGAGTCTGCGTGCTGTCCGCTCTCTTTGGCTGTCGCGGTGTAACTGACGGTGGGAATTTTGGAATTTTATGCGCTATGTCCGTACTGCCGATGTGAGCATCTAGTGTAGCGCTGCTATAGGGATGAACAACTTTTTGTTGTTAGTTAAAAAAACAGGGGTGAGTGTTTTTCTTTTTTAATTCTATACAGAAATATATTTAATAATTCTAATACAAAATCTCTACAACTGAATTGCATTTAGATTTAAGAAAAGTTTTAATTATACAGAGTCGTAATTTTTTATACATGGGTTTAGGGCTTACTCTGACATCGTGAACTGATACTATTTTTGCTGAAGTCTCGTCGGTGGTTGTGATAGATATTATTATCAAAAACGATTCGGCAATGATCGAAGTTGCTGTTGCAGTTAATCGTCAACTTTACAAATTTTTGAGTTTGTGATCCTGTTATTGGATTATTTGTTATTGTATTCTTTAGTGAATGGTTTGTCGTTGTTATTTGTTCTATTTGTTGATTTTGACTTGTCATTGTGGAAGTGGAATCACACTACGTTTGAGTATGAATTTTCTATTCACATTTTCTTTATTTTTCATAGCCCACACTCAATGTATGTTGGATGTGACAACTATTTAACTCTGTTTTTTAGTCCTAGAAAAAATATAGTCAAATAGTTATTATATCCAACAAACATAGAGTGTAGGCAAAGGAAATTAAAGAAAAAATTAAGAGAAAATTCACACACGACCGGATTAATAAACAAACTAATTTATGTAATAGACTCCACATCCACAACCACAAGTCACAACCAACAGATAAAACAATCAACATCGACAAACCATTCGCTAAACAATACAACAAATAGTTAAATAACAGGATTACCAACGACTTTTGGATCAGTACCGTACATTTCTGATTTAAGACCGAAAATTAAGAACATGTCCAATGTAGAGACTAAAATAAGGATGATCCTTAGACACTAAATAAAATTTCAATGATTGTGTGTGAAATCAATCATGCTCAAGTTGTGAATATATATATATATATATATATATATATATATATATATATATATATATATATATATAGGAGAAACTTCTAGAACATTGCACAGTAGGATTATGTAACATATATTATATTATAATATAACACAGAAGCGACATAAACACAAAAAAAAACAAAAAACTTTTGCCTTAACAGATCATGTAATCAATCTCAAGCATGATTGAATATATTTGAAGCAATCGTCTATGTTCTTCCTCAAATTGATGTCATTGATGATTGATTTATGTTATATATTGTAACCTCGGAAACCTTGTTTGGATAGTGCTAGAAAGGTCACCAATGGAGACACTGCGGACGGCAGCCAGATGGTTGGTGGAGAGCGAGTCGTGGGTTCGAAACTAGCTTTTGGAACCGGGAATGGGCCCAACGGACGAAATAAGTAAAGATAGAACAAGATAAGATATATTAGAAAAGATACAGAAATAAACAAAAAGATAGATAGATAGTAAAATTACCAAAGATACGATAAGATAGAAACAAGGCGCCACTCAATTTTTTGGGGTTTAAGGAAAAAATTAAGAAACCTTAGAAAAGAAAAGAGATAAGGAAAGATATTTTTGGTTTAGAGACCAAACTCAAGAGAAGATATTAACAGTTAATTATTAAATAAATTCGGTCAACATTTTACATAAACAAATAATAATTATATTAGGTATTATACCTACTTACCTACGAAACTTAATCAGCCTGATCTTTCTACTGGTCAAAGGACTAATAATAATTAAAGGTAAAAAGCAAATATTCAGAGTTATTGTGATATCAGGAAATTTGTTATAGTCTATTTTTATGAACGAGAGAGTAATTAGCATAATTTTAACTGGTACCTTCGACCACTCCATGGGCGTGCTCAAGATTAATTGAAAAATTACTTTGAATAATTGTAAAAAATAAATGAATTATTTCAGTGTTATAAAGTGTTATGTGTATGTAAACAAAAGTGACCTCTTTTATCACACACTATATTAGAACTGACTGGCCTACATTAAAAAGGGTTTTAAAAAATTCACATTTTTTTTAATTTTTAAAAATTACAAAAGAGAAAAAGAGTTTTTAAAACCGTCTAAGGTATGTTAAATAGATGAATAAAAATATTAATATAAAACTTACAGCTACTTGTTACAAATCCAAATCACATTCAGAAGATGAACTTTCAGAACCAAGATTTATAATAACTGGCTCGATCATTTTATCAGTAATATTGTCCAGCTTCCACATTTTTTCCTCTTCTTTAATAGTGTGATTTACTGCCTTTTCCCAGTTTTCAGGTTTTACATTATTTACGGCCTCCAAAAACAACTGTTTAACATTATGAATTTTAAAAGTGGTATTTTTTCTTGAAACTTCACTCTTTATCTGTGCCCATACCAGTTCAATCGGGTTTAATTCACAATGATATGGTGGGGATGTAAGTACTGTCATTAAACGATTTTTGTCAATTTCATCAATTTCGTATTTTTTAAATTTTTCTTTATGAAGGGCACACAACGAATAAAGTTCCTTTCTTATAGATCCGGGATGGTCCGTAATATTTTTTGAACTCAGCTAATTCTGCAATTCTTTTATTAACCACTTGGTTGTGGGCAGTCCTTCTATAAGTCTGGAGTGATAACTTGCATTATCCATTACTATTACACAGTTCTTAGGAAGAAGATCTATCATTTGTTCGAACCATTCTTGAAAGACATTAGCGTTCATGTCTTCATGGTAGTCACCGGTACGAGTTGATTCAAAAGTTAATAAACCACGTTTAACAAAACCGTCTGAACTGCCAATGTGTACTATTATCAGCCTGCGTCCCTTTCCTGATGGTGGGTTTAAGCCAGTAGATAAATTATTTACAAAAGCGTGCCTTTGACTTGTAACAGTTTCATTCTGCCAAAATTTATTTGGTGTATGACCCTCGTTGATCCATGTTTCATCAAGATAAAATATTTTTTCTTTTTTGGTTTCTCATTTCCTTTATGGTTCTTAGAAAATGTCTTCTCCATATGACAATATCGCTTCTTTCTAATAAAATAGACTTTCTGGGATTCTTTTTCCAGCGGAAGCCTATTTCTTTTAAAAGTTTCCATAACGTACTTCGACTCATTTCTGGGTAATCCTTATCATCTCGAACTGAGACAAGAACTTTATCCAATGTTGGAAATTCTTGTCTAAAGAAGAATTCATGCACTTTCCGTCGAAGTCCTTCTTTAAAATGATATTCTATTTGAAATTTTGGTTTCCCTGGAGCATTACGTGGCATTTGAAAACTACCCCATTTCTCTTCTTTAATAACTCTGTAAATCGTAGATTTCCCAACACCAAGTGTACTGTTAACTAACTCAATGGTCTCATCAACACTTTCACATAAACGTTTGTCTGTAAATGATTTAAAACAATTAAATATTAATGTTTTTTCATTAACTGTTAAAGGATCAAATTTTTGGCGTTTACACGGCACTTCCAAATTTCCTATAACACTAGTATACACAATAAACTGCACCTTGCAACTGAAGTACCTACTTTTAATGAACTGTTAAGAATTTTGAATACGCCACTTGGACCTTCCTACAAAATGGAAAAACCCACTATCAGTTTTTGTGTGGAATAAGTTTAGAAGGTAATTATCTAGTCAATTACTGTCGTAGATTCCTGGAATTAAAGAATTAAATGTTTGATTGTTGAAACCCTTACTTCGTGGAATGCACTCATTTCAGATAAAATAAAACGTTTTATTTTATCTAAAGAATTAAACTTTATTTTGCAAATAGGTAGGTACTTATTAAACTTTTATTGGTTATATATAACCAATAAAATAAACATCTTACATTTCTTGCAAATTCATTAGTACCTGTTAACCTCCATCACTCCTATACTGGCAACCTTATTTAGGGATTAGTAACCCTCACAACTATTGTATTCGATTCTGCTCCAACCTTTATACATGGTGGTCATACTCAATTTAAAATTGTTTTCCTATATACTTCTGTAAACTTGTTGACAAATATCTGTTTTTCATTGAGTCACCCGTATCAACAGTTTAAAGATTTGCATACATAATTTATTGTTTTATTACTTTCTCATACATAAAAATACACTGTAGGAGTCGACAAATAAAATGCGTACATAAAACAAAAACAATATATTCAACAACAAAACAATATCGGTAGCTGAATGTACACATAAGATAAAAATACACCATCAATTATGAAATGGTGGTATACATATAAAAATAAACAGTAAAATAATTAGAAAATACCTTTACAAGATATATAATACAATTATGCACAAATAAAGTATTTCGGGCGTATATTACAGTAAAAAAAAATTAATCAAAACTAAATTTACAAAAATACAAAAAAAGGTTACAGAAACAAAAATTTAACCAAACCGCACTTGATTAAGTCGATTAGTTGCTTCGCACTATTATTTAATGATAAACTGAGACTTAAATGTTCATAATTATTATTTATTGACATTCTTAGTAGCTGATGGAAAGTTCGTAAGCAAATATAGAATGTTCTTTAAATTGAATGCAAAATTCAGTAGTTACTCTCAACTAAAGGTGAAGAAATGAATGACTTTAGATTCGTCCAGATAATGGAAGATGATATACCATACCATATTACTCGCCAAGATAAGTGATTATGGTAACTTACAGTAATTCCTGTTGATTGCTGCACTAATTCACTGAAGGTAATACTATATTTGTATTAAACACTGAATTTAATTAACATTGAAGGTACTTTATAACTATATTTAATCTAATATAGTATAGGGTCAAAAAAAACTCAAATATAAAGTGTATGCACACTTAGCAAATAATTCA